TTTGACTGCTTGCTCTTGACAAGCATGTCGTCCACATATACTTCCATATTCCGACCGATCTGCTTGGCGAACATTTTGTTCACCATCCTTTGGTAGGTCGCACCCGCATTCTTTAGGTCAAAGGGCATCACCCTGTAGCAATACAGACCTTGGTCTGTTATGAACGCGGTACGATCTTGGTCTGGCAAGTGCATTTTGATTTGGTTGTATCCAGAGTAGGCATCCATCAAGGTGAGTAGCTCGTGCCTGGCCGTCGCGTCCACGAGCTGGTCGATCCTCGGCAAAGGGAAGCAATCTTTTGGGCACGCCTTGTTTAAATTCGTGAAGTCCACGCACATTCGCCACTTCCTGTTGGATTTTTTGACTAATACAACATTAGAGAGCTACTCGGGATACAAAATTTCTCTTATATATTCAGCTTTTAATAGCTTGTTAACTTCCTCAACAATTACATCACTTCTCTCCTTATTTACAGGTTTTCTTTTTTGCTTTACAGGTCGGAGTGATGGGTCTATGTTGAGGCGATGCACCATGATCTTTGGGTCGATGCCTGGCATGTCCTCGTGAGACCATGCGAAGACGTCCGAGTTGGACCTGAGGAAGTTGATCAGCTCTTCCTTATCAGAGGCCCCCAGCTTGGTTCCTATGCTTACTTGTTTTTCAGGGTTAAGTAAGGGAACAAGCTCCAGCTCCTCTGTTGGTGCAGAGAACTGCCTTTTGGCTTCTCTAGGTAGGTCGCCTCAAACTCTTACAACTCGTCCCGAATCGTTTGTTCTTCCAGGGCGCATACCGACGACCTTTTAGGCACGGAGGCATAACACTCCCTTGAAGTCTTCAGTTCCCCTCGGACCGTGCCCACTCCATTGAGAGTTGAGTATTTCAAGACTTGATGAAGCGTTGAAGGAACGGCGCGGAACGAATGGATGATGGGTCTCCCGAAGATGGCGTTGTAGGCCGATCTTCCGTCGATCACGACGAACTCGGCCATCTGAGTTACCTGTGTATCATCTTGCCTAATCGAAACCGGCAAGTCGATACACCCTTCTAGAGAGATCGATTCTCCAGAGAATCCAACCAAGGGTGTCGGACTCTTCTTCAGCTGCGACCTGGTCCATCCCAAGGCAAGATATGTTGAAAGGGACAAAATGTTGGCAGATGCGCCTCCATCTACTAGTATTCTTCGGACCAGGACGAGATCGATGAGAGGAGCGATCACAAGCGCGTCATTATGGGGCAAATGAACCCCCTCCAGGTCAGCATGGTTGAAGGCAATAGAGGAGGTTGGTCTTTGCTCCCTGATGATGCACACCTCGCGTCTGGCTTCGCGAGCTAGCTCCTTTTTTTTATTGATGACCGCAGGTCGGTCATCTCGGCGAGGTGGCGTCCTCAAACGCTTCCTCTCTTCTTTCTTTTCTACCGAGTTGGACCTCGGTTTGCCTACAAATTTTTTGAAGTAGCCATCTTGAATGAGGTCTTCAATTTGGCGCTTCAATTCCCAGTAATTTGATGTATTATGGCCATGATCACGATGAAAACGACAATATTTGTCTGTATTACGCTTTTCTGGGTCTCCTCGGAGCTTCTCAGGTCGCTTGAGGAGCTTTTCCATCCCAGTCTCCTCAATGTTCGTAAGTATTTCGAAGATTGGGATGGTGGTCGGAGTGTAATGCTCATAAGGTCGGCTTTGGTTGTGGCTACTATTCGACCTTCGATAATCAACTCGGCTGCTAGAGGAGGATGGTCCCTTGTCCCTGGACTTGGAATCAGCTTTTCCTTTGTCCTTGCCAGCTCTCCCCTGATCGATATTCTTTTCTGGTCGGCCAGTTTTTGTTCGGAGGAGCTCTTGCCCGTCGATAACCTTCTTCGTCTTTTGCAGGACCTCGGCAAAAGTGGCTGGGGCTTCTTCTCTGAGCTTCACGGTGAGGGTCTCGTCGGCCAGGCCGGTGAGGAAGTAGCACATGGCCGAGTCATCGGAGCAGTGTGCGACCTTCAGCTGCTCCTCCGGGAACCTTGTGACATACTCTCTCAGCGTCTCACCTTCCTTCTGTCTGATGGTGGCGAGGTGAGTCGGTGTCTTTCTATCGTAATGCCGAGAAGAGAATTGGCTAATAAATTCTTTCCTCAGTTGGGAATAGGTCGAGATCAACCTGGCCGGCAGTCTTCGGTACCACAAGCGCGCGCTGCCGGTGAGTGCGATCTGGAAGGCGCAGCACTTGATTGCATCTGTTGCCGCTTGAAAGTCCATGAGGCTTTCGAAGACCTCAACATAGTCTTTTGGGTCCTTGGACCCGTCATAAGGCTTCATGGTGGGAGTCTTGAATTTTGGAGGGATCAGAGCCTCTAGGATGTCCGAGGAGAATGACAATTCTCCCAGGTCGCCATCATCAAACGAACTTTCTTTTTTCTCGCACCTAGCCTTCAAGGCCTCAACCTGGGCATCAAACTTGCTCTTTAGCTGATCAAACTCCTCTCTTGTGATCACTCCGGGAGTTATTGGATTGTATGAGGACTCTGCCTGTTGATTAGAGCTCGTGTGTGAGCAGAACGGAGACTGTCCCTTACGG